GTGATAATGTAGTGCAGGCTGGCCTTGAATTCACTTATATAGCTCAGCTGGCCTCAAAATTATAGCAGTCCTCTTGCCTCAGCCTCCCAAGCACTGGAATTACAGGCGTGTGCCACGCCTGGCAGTATTTTCAGATTTTTTTTTTCTTTAGATTTTTTAATGTAACTTTGTTTTAGTCCTTTTCTGTGTGCTTTTCTATCAATGTTTATAATGGTTTTATTAGTTGATCACAGCCAGTTACTGTCACATGATATTGCTGGAGGTTCTCTGACCATCTTGCTATGTGAGAGCAGCATTAGAGGATGGGAATGTACCCTGTAAGCACTAACTGTGATGCTTGGTCGGTTTGGAAGCTCAGTTTTAGCCAGTTGAGCGATCACATTCCACACCTGGTGGTGGTGCATGGCCGCTACACACTGACCTTCTGCCTACTCTCTTTCAGTCACTCCTGGCTACGTCCCTCCTCTTGCGAACTTTGACTTGGAAACTTTAAATGTAATACCTCATAGCAGTTCTTCATCAGCAAAAAGCAGAAACAAAGGAAAGATAAGTATGTTCTTATCCTGTGTCACTCAGCCACATTGAGTTAACCTAAGACATCTTATATATACTGTATATTTTATACGTATCAGCATCAGCAGTTGGAGAGATTATATAATTGAACTCTCTTTAGCAGGCATTTAAATGCTCTGTAATGTAGGCTATAGTATGACCTCTTCTATGGGGTAGAAGGTTATTTTTGAGGGCACTGATTTTTTTTTCCCCATAATTTTATTGAGAAACAGCAATGAGACAGTTTCAAACCAAAGTGGTAGGACAGTTTCAATAATTAACATATTGCATGGCACTGATTTATTGAGAACTTTGAGTCACTTTTTTTTTTTAATATAAGGAGAAAGAAAAAAAAAAGCAGATGATGATAAAGCATCCTCTCCTGATAAACTTTCAAAGGAGGATAATTCAGAATGTGAGCCTGTGGCATCTGGAAGAAGCCAGCTAGACAAGGTACTGGAGTAGTGGGTGGATGGCAGACATATACAACAGCCCAGTGAGAGCTACAGAGGGCCAGCTTTGTTCCCTGTATTTTACAGAGGAAAACTTAGGGATACAGACAAATGAAACCTTTTAGACTTTGGAGTGACCTATTTGCAGGCAAAGTTCAAATTATACTTTTGTGTTTTTTTTTTTTTTTTTTTTGTATTTTTAGGGAAGGGTCCACAGAGTGTTCAGGATCTGACTACTAGAT